ACTAGCAGGTGGGCCCGGCGTTGCTCGGGCAAAAGTAACTATAACTAAGATAAAGATTATTACGTTACAGTCAACCTTACCCGTTTTCACAGAATGCAAGAATTGGGTCCCCTTGTTTCCAAACTAATTAGAGAATTTTTAGATGGGTCTAAAAATATGTTCGATTTTCCGCAAAAACGAAAAAAAAACGGCATCTGCGTATTGCACGTCGCTTTTTCTTAACAATTCCATTGTTACGTAACATTTCCATTGTTGACACTTCCATTGTTACTTAGCACTTCCATTGTTACTTAGCACTTCCATTGTTACTTAGCACTTCCATTGTTACTTAACACTTCCATTGTTGACACTTCCATTGTTACTTAACACTTCCATTGTTACTTAGCACTTCCATTGTTACTTAACACTTCCATTGTTGATAGAAGTGTTAAGCCTTAATCCTGTCCCTCTCCCCCGTGGGGAGGAATTTCTAAAAATACCTTCTTAGTGTGCGTTCTCCTAACGTATCCTAACTGTGTACCAAATTTCAACTTTCAACTCCTAACCGTTCGGGCTCGTATCCATAACGTATATAGAAGTTTTAATCCTGTCTCTCTCCCCCCGGGGGGGAATTTCGAAAAATCCCTTCTTAGTGTGCGTTTTTCGTGACGTACCCTATCTGTGTACCAAATTTCAACTTTCAACTCCTAACCGTTTGGGCTCTGCGCTTATTATTAATATTATTATCATCAACCCGTCTCGATTATATATTACGGTAGATAAAACTATAGTATAGGCCTAAATAAGCTTAGCTACCGTGTTTCCCCGAAAATAAGACATCCGCAGAAAATAAGACCTAGCACTGGTTTTGCTGAATTGCGAAATATAAGACCTCCCCTGAAAGTAAGACCTAGAGAAGTTTTTTTTAGTCGTAACGGTCATCGACAGATAGTTGAAAGTAGCCGTTGGCTTTTTGAAAGTACAGCCACTAATTGGTCAGAAGACAATTACACCACACGGCATGATTTGCATAATACTATGGCTTGGGAATCACAGATTTGCATAACGTTACGGCTGGTGATGGCTAATTGGTCGGCCGAGAATCACGCCACATGACATTTGCATAGTGCTACGGTTCAGTAAGCACTAATTGGTCATCGAGTCCGATGTTGACGCTATAAAAAGGCGACAGTTCGACACACCGGATATACGTCACTCTCGTCTAAGTTCGACTTGGGAATTTTTTTGTTCAATAATAAATGTGAATTCTTCTTCCTGGAAAAAATAAGACATTCCCTCAAAATAAGACCTAGCGCATTTTTCAGAGCCAAAATTAATATAAGACACTGTCTTATTTTCGGGGAAACACGGTAAATGTAACATCTACAAAAAATACTTATAAATCAATATATAAATTATTTTGTAAACTAATTTATTATCTATTATATTCATAAACACAGATTATAGGCTGATTATTCAATCTCTACTTTCTCATAAAAAGCATTGAGTCATAATTGATGGGGGAATTTCTAGTATTTATAGCCTATAATTTAAGCTCATTTTTATGTGCTAAATTTATTTAATTTCAACGTTGTCGACAATTTTAAATGAACAATATGACACTTAATATTAATTAATAACATTGTTGCTTGCCCTTACATTATTATTATTCAACGTATTTTCGATTTATATTTTAAAGCTTACCAAACACAGCAATCAAGTATTTGAAAACAATTTATTACACTTTGCTAATTATAAAATTTATTACAATTGCAAACAATTGTCTATTTGATTGCTGTTTGTGTTTGAAATATAAATTACGACGATCTTCGTTTGTGCATGAATTACGTTAAATAATGACATTTAATTGTTCTCTCATTGTCAAGGCTCTTAGAAAATTAAATATAAATCGATTAATCACACTATAAAAAAATAAATGAATTCGATTAAGTCTGAATGAAATGTAAATATCTAACAAAATTATAAGCATGCAGTTCAGTTTTTATTTTTGATTAATTAAGTAAATATTAAATGTATATAATATCAATTATTTTATTAAAAGTTAAATTTTACATTACAAATGTTTAAGTACAATTTCGTTTTATCATTTTGTCTAACCGTTAGAGCTAAGGACTACAATTATCAATATGAGCGTGAAATATAAGAAAATCGCTACTACTCAGAAAAAGTTTCGAGTTCGTACCTTTTTACCTTGTTTATGGAGATTCTTTCAGTATAATTTCAGCTCACTTTATTTCAAAATTTCTTCATTCTTTATTTTTACTTCTTAGAAGAGTAAAATTGCGTGTCTTTATTTCCCAGTCTTCTTCAATCTAAAAAAGAAAAATAGTATTAGTCCATACAAGGTGAGTGCCTTGACCACACTATCGTACTACACTATCGTCTTCGTCTACTACCAGTTACTTCTGTTTTCTTCCTGCACGTGGTCTAAATCTTTTCCGGGAATAATTCCTGAACAAGAAGGGAACCTCTCGGCGATGGGAATCTTAATTAAGAAAATTTCCCTAAACGTAAAGAATAGGATCCGCTTATAGAAGATAGAGAAAGATTTGTTAAAATTCTAGATTTCTAAAATAATTTTAATTAAACAGTTAATGGGATATTCAGGAAATTTTTACAAATTTTATCTATGGCCTAGACCCTAGAGTGTGCTATGTTAATTGTTAAACATACAGGGAAAGTCGATTTTTTCAGCTCAAGCATCTGTTTTTGATAAACTGATTCATTTACATTGTAAATAAATGAATCAGTTTATCAAAAGCAGATGCACGAGCCGAAAACAACGGTACAGACAACGGCTGGTTTTTTTTCATGTAAATTTTACATGAAGAAAACCAGCCATTCGATCTCCGATTCGAACGAAACTTGGCGAGCAAGTAGCCCTAAACACAAATGTTTTTTTGTCCGAATAATATGGCTCACTTTTGAAGTATTTCCTAACAATGTTCTCTGGAAATAAAGTGTTTAACTTATAAGACTGGCCATTCAGAACTATCATAGCTGAGCGAATAAGGTATTAAACATCGGAGCTAAAGGTTATGGGGTTATATCTTCTGCAATTTACGAATTCTTAAGTGTAACATAATTATTTTATTATTTAAACGTATCATTACATTATTATCGTCAAGTTTAAAGCATATAGAAGAAGAGATTATAAATTGGTGACGTAATTTCCTGTTTAGCAAAGAGAAGTCCCTGGATATAATTCTTTTATGTTCATTAATATATTTTTTCTTCATACAGTAAGGCATCGTTTAGCGCTTTCTCGATTAACGCTGATTTGATATAGGCTAACGCGGTCTACTCGAAGCCTAAAAGAAGGCTCAAAATTTACGCTGATTCAAATTATCGCGGAATTTTATTAATTCGTATATAATAAGATTATTATCGAACACGAATCAATCAGCAATAGATGGCAATTCGTCGTAGCGCTGTACTTTTCGTAAATATATGTTTGGAGAAATTTAGGGAAAAAATATAACATTATGGATGCCGTACATAATATCGACTTCGCATGACAAGAATTAACTGATAAATGCATGAACGGAGTATGGAAGAAGATATGGCTGAAGATATCCAAGGATTCTCAACGAGAAGAGTCTATCGTTGACCAAATTGTCAACCTAATCGATACAGTAGGACTAGGAGATGTAGACGAGCAGGATATTGAGGAGTTACCGCAGGTTTCTGGTGAGAGTGTTACTAATGACAACCTTCAAGAACTGGCAGAACAAGGAATTCATGTAGAACTGGAAAATAGTGATTATGAAAACGAAGAACCCAAAGAATTTCTTTACAGATTTCCTTAGTAAAAGTTTGGTATCGATAACCGAAACAGTTGATTAAATTGTAGCAAATGATCCAGATTTTGAAAGGAGTGCAAAAGTAAGACAAAGCGTTTTCAGTGCGATCTCCTGCTACCGACATTTGCTTAACGAAAGAAAAAATAGCAACAAATGACACTAGACTTCATCACAAAAAATCAAGAATTTCAGAAGGGCTAGGACCTTCATTACAAAAATGAACTTTACATTTGTGTGTGCATATGTTTATGTGATATTTAATATATATTATTATGCAAATTAATATAAGAACAACTTAAAATTAAAATTCGTTTATTGTTGTCCGTGTGTTTTCCTTTTCCTATTTACAATGTGTTAAAATGACCTAGTTTAATGCTCTTAGTTTAACGCGTTTTGTCGTCTAGGAACGCATCCTAAGCGCTAAAGATACCATTAGTATAAACGAAACACAAAAAATTCTAAATTACAGTCAAGCTTTTATATAACAAAAATTCGGTAAATAAAATATTATTATTTTAATTTATATTAAGTTAAATACGTTCGAGAATACTTGCATCTGATGACCTATCATATTAGGTCGAAAACGTTAATGTTTCTTTAATAAACGTTTTTCTCAGCATCGAGTGTTGGATGATTTATTATTATTTTAACGTAATTTTTTTCGTTATTTTATGTAATTTAATATAATAATATATAAATTAATATAAACGTAAGTTTAATTTTAAGCGTGGTTACATTTATGTGTTTAAATATAAGTTAGTTTAACTACTTTTTCGTTAAATAATTTGTAATATTTTGTTGCACAGAACAATAAAAGAATGTCTTCTCTTCACACTTATTAAGAACATAAAAACTGCTTTATCTACATCGATGTAAACAAAGTTCTAGCAAGTGTTTCCGTATGTCTTGCATCATCGACTAATTTTAAAATTAATTCGCGATTTGTTATTATGGTTGATAAAGTTCTCACAGGAATTCCAAACTTTGCTGCAACGTCTTTCTTTTTTGAGCATTAATCAATTTCCCTCAACAGTAATTTTTTTTAGTAATGTTAAGTATCAGTACAATCCTACTAGAGTTTCCAGCATCTTATTACACATTTATCTATGGGAAAACAGTTTTGGTGGAGCAGAATCTTTTACTTGGGTAAACAACAATAAATTAACATGGCCTGAAATTGAAGCTTCCAGTAAAAATCTTAATGAAACTGTTGCAAATAATACAATAAACATGGATCAACTGTTTGATGAAGTAGTGATTGCAAAACTTTTTTGGGTTAGCTAACTATGAAATTTGGAAAAATACAAGTTGTGAAGAAAAATGGATACAACTTTTCTGTCATTTCAAAGAAAAGAACATTTCATTGCTCAATCTTGTTCAAATTATAGAATACATTTTTAGCATGCCAGGCACATCTGCACCAGTCCAAAGAGTATTCTCAGTAATAAATATCATATGTTTTAAAGAAACGGGTAGAATGACTGAATCGACCATAAAAGCTTTACTACGCTGCAAAATTAACAGTGAAATAAATTGCTGTGAATTTTTCAATGTCGTTAAAAACAACAAAGAATTTTTAAAGAAAGTTTGCGCTAGTGATAAATATTAATAAGTTCTTAATAATAAGGTATGCCCAGTTGAGTTATTAAAAACTGCTTTTAACTCGTTGTGTTTTGTTAAGAAATTCTTTATTTAGCCGTTTTAATCATAGATACTTATTCTAGTAGGCTTTATTTTCTATTGTATTTTCTCAAAATTTTTCCTGTTTGAGAAAAAAAAATATTATGGTAATCCTACCTCTTAACCATATCCATCGCAAGTTCGGTTTGGCCGAATCCGCGATGGGTGTGAGAATTTTCTTAAACCTTAAAAATTCTGAGGTTTATGAAAATTTCCATGAATATTCCCTTGAAAATTCCTGTTTAGAGTAAAGTAATATTATAAAATAACCGCGTATCATTTACATAGTTTGCTGTTTCCTTTAATAACTTCATTCACGTTTCGTTGCACTTCGCTCCTCAAGAATGACAATAGAATTAAAGGAACAATTACAAAACCAATTCGTATATTTTAATAGGAGTCAGCAGTCAAATTTTCAACGTATTTTTCATTTTTAAGTGGTGAAGTTGACAAAAGAATACTTAAATGGTAAGCATTATTAACAATAGTTTAAGTGATTCGAATGGTAAACATTAGAAATTAATTCATAAACTTATACCTCTTATGGTATAGGTAAATAATAATTTACAGTTTATCAACGATTTTGTAATAATAATTTTAACTGTGCTAACTACGAAATATGTTTATTCAATTCAACTTCTTGAAGATATTTATATTTATATATACTTTCTCGAGTATTCTATAATAATATTTAGATATAAAATAACAAATTCATCCTGAAGTAATGGCGTAAAACATTGAAACGTGTAGAACAGATATCCACGAGGAAATAACCTTGCAGAAGCACACAATAACAAATATGGAAATCCAAAGTGTGCCGTTAAACATCTAAATTTAAGATAATTTTTAAATATACCACTAATTTAATAATCTTTCCTAAATAATCCACGTGTCACGAAACGAAAGTTAAATGAGGCAACTAAAATACAGCAATTTATTAAAAATTAAGACATTCGTGGGTAAATTCTAAATGTATAAGTTTCTGTAGAAAATCTATACAATAATAAGCGTGCTTTGTATGCTATAATCGCGTTTGGAATAACAATCAATTGTACTTGTAGCGATAATAAATATTATATAGAATAAACTAAAAGTAAGTTAAAAACCAGATTAAAAGAACATATAGCAGATCTGAAATACAACAGAATAAATTCTGCCTTTCATGATCATTGCACTCTGAATGATTGTAAAATTGATAAAGATAAAGTAGAAATACTCCACAAAGAAAAAGAAACATATCATAGAAAATTCAAAGAAAGCGTAGAAATTATCAAAAGTAATAAATGTAAAAATAAAAACCTAAGTATTAAAATAAACGAAAACTGGCTCAATATCTTATAAAATTAAAAAATCTTTTAAAAAATATTTTAAAAATATTGCCACAAGGTGGCCTACTCGTCATGTGACTGTGTAGTAGACAGTGGGCAGTATCAACTGGGGGAAAAAAGAAAAAGGGGGGAGGAAAGGTCGTCGAAATCTGTTTGTATGGAAGGACATCGATTTTGATGTAAGACGAGTATGTAAATTCTGGTATTGTTGTTAAATCGATTTAAACGTGATAGTTAATGTATGGGAAAAATTTTAAAATAGTTTAAATTTTATAACAATTAAAATGAATAACTAGGTACGTACCAATAGCGAGCCGTCATTGGAAGCGGTGGAAGCGTTGCTTCCCTTGTATTTTCTAAAAAATAAATACATATTGTGCGATTATTTTCATATAATTAATTTAAAATTAATATTTTATTATAACCGCATTATGTATCTTATTACAAATTTCTATACTACATGTGAAAAAAACGATAAGATTGCTATTGTATATTCGAATATCAGTGGCGGAATGGATGGAGGCGCTGTATTGTCGAAATCGGGTCAGCTTCCAAGCAGCCAGATTATACATTTCGCGCATGCGCTTTACAGAGCACCAACCTCACCCGGTTTAGCTGGTGGAAGCTACACACCAAAATGCTTCCAAAGATTCTATCCTGGACCAGTTCTGGGCTGTTAGCCGCCTGCCTGCTAGAAATTTGGCCACTCTCGCCCCATNTTATTACAAATTTCTATACTACATGTGAAAAAAACGATAAGATTGCTATTGTATATTCAAATATCAGTGGTGGAATGGAAACGCTGTATTGTATTGTCATCTTCCAAACAGCCAGATTATAATCATTTGCGGATGCGCTTTACAGAACACAAACCTTACCTAGTTTAGCTGATGGATGCTACACACGTATAACGCTTTTAATGATTCTATCCAGGACCATTTCTGGGCTGTTAGCCACCTGCCCAGAACTGGTTCAATTCCCTGCCCAGTGTACAATTCTTGTACAATGTTAAAAAATTAACTGTTACTTTGGTAGCACCATTTACAACTAAATTTAATGAATGAGAGATGCACGAGGTACAAAAAAGAGCTATAGAATTTATTTTCCTTAAATTTACGATTTACGTATCCGTTTGTCATAAACATTTGTCTTTCCACTTTTTTCCCGAGACTACAAATAGTCGAGTACAAAGTAACTGTTTTCAACTTATTTCTACTTTAGAAGTAGTTAAATGATTAAGCAATTAGGGAATTGGGGACATAAATGAAACCCTGCTGAAAGAGCCGAATTTTTACTTAAACAAAAACTTAACCGAAGTACAGTGGGGACTGAAGAATCTGTAGCCGAGCACAGTGGAGACTGATTTCTTCGTAATATTAGATATAAAGACAGAAATTTTTCCAGTTCAATGAGAGTGACCGAAAAGTTGCAAATTTTGGAAATTTCCGTGTATACCTGGTCCTAAAACGAATTAGTTAGAAAACAAATGACAGACAATCTATTAAGTTTAACATATTTAGATTTTTACAGTTATGGCGAGAAACATTCAAAATGTACAACAAGTAAAACGGCAAAACCGTATTTGGAACAAGACTATGTCTCGGAGACTCACTACTAAGCGGAATCACTTTGACGCTCTCATTCTCCAATCTTCTTTGGTATCGCTCGCTGCTTTTGGGCGCAATTGTTCAAACTTCGCTGGCCATAACCATAAGATCGTCCACAATGTATCTTCAATGAAATTAACCTATCCAATTTCGAAATTTCTCTCCGTTGCGTGTCGGTCCGGGTTGAATTTTTGTCGATGCGTAACGAAAATTTCCCGTTTTTGAAAAAATAATCGTAGCTGTTGTATCGTCTGAAATTATTTTCTTTATTTTGCACAAACAATATGCGGTTTAACCTCATTATAATGTTATCGGATGTAACGACAACTCTAATATAACGTCAAATTTTTATCGGTCCCACGATTTTACTATACTAGATAATGTTAAAAAAAACCTACTTGTAACAACACCCTGTTTTAATGTCGTATTTGAAGCACTCCCAAATTTACAAAATTAGATTACAAATTTTATTTAACATAAAAGAAACTACGTGTTCAATCCTAAGGTCAGAGTTCACTTTTTACAATGATTGTGGGTGGTACTCTCCCCACCTGACTTCAATGGGGTGAGGTGGCTGTTTTGCCTGTTTGTAGAAGAGGATCGCCATTTTGGATTTCATTTTGGCTCGGTTCTCGGTTCCCTGACTACCTACAAGTCTGGATTTTTTTATGTGCAAATGATTTGGGCACCTAATACTCTGTGCCAAATATCAACTCTCGACATGTACCCCTTCATACCTCTATGCTGTTAATAAAAAACGGCAGTACGATTTTATAAACAAGACATAGTCTTGTCAACAACCTTGTCGCGTCCTTTGAGTTATACCAGTGATGCGACAAAAGAGGCATTTGACATAGACTGGTATCCGCACCCTCGGGATTTGGCATGCATGCACGCACTGCACACCTACGAGGACCGTCTCTGATTCCATCTATTAGTCACTCGTAGGAAGCTATTTGACTAAGTGGATTGTTTTAAGATTTAAAAAGTAAAGAATATTTTATGTTATTTTTATGTACGTTTCTTTACAAAGCTATATTTAAATTATAATTTTCTTTAAAAGTACAGTAGAGCGTCGTTTATCCGAAACGTCGGTTATCAGAAGGAATTCCAGTCGACAAATTTAAATTTTCGCCAATGCTATGGCGCTGTAATCTTTGGGTTACTCAAATATTTTACGTTTTTGATACTAAATTAACTTTTGAAGTATACTTTTTTTATTGTTTTTATATTTTTCAATATACAGTAATACCCCAACTTACGCTACCCCGACTTACGCGAACCCGGAGTTACGCGATTTTGAAATCTCGTCGATTCTTCTTTTGTTTGAGCGCCACGCAATCCTTGATTACTCACTACCCCCACACTATTGTTCAGCTTACATGTTCGGATGTGTCGCGCGGAATCCACACATAGCTACAATTTATTTTGTGTTATTTATTTCTGTGTTTGTTATATCTACGGAGACTTGAGAGATTACATACTCTGATTTGTTTGTCATTTTCCTGAAGATGATNGTAAAATTCTTGTATAATGTTAAAAAATTAACTGTTATTTTGACAGCATCATTTACAACTAAATTTAATGAATGAGAGAGATGCACGAGGTACAGAAAAAGCTCTAGAATTTATTTTCCTTAAATTTGCGATTTATGTAACCGTTTGTCATAAAAATTTGTCTTTCCACTTTTTCCCGAGACTAAAAATATTCGAGTACAAAGTAACTTGTTTCGACTTATTTCTACTTAAGAAGTAGTTAAAAAATTAAGAGATTAGGGAATTGGAGACATAAAACCATGACGAAAGAGCCGGAATTTTACTTAAACCAAAGCTTAACCGAACCAATCTCTAGCCGAGTATAGTGGGGACTGATTTCTTTGTAATATTAGATGTAATAAAGAGAGAAATTTTTCCAGTTCAATGACAGTGACCAAACAGTTGTAAATTTTGGAAATTTCCGTGGACCCTGGTCCTAAAACATATTAGTTAGAAAACAGACGACGGACAATCTATTAAGTTTAACATATTTAGATTTTTTACAACTATGATGAGAAACGATTAAAATCTGCAACAACCCTGTCGCGTCCTTTGAGGTATACTAGTGATGCGACAAAAAAGGCATTTGACATTGACCGGTATTGGCACCCTCGGGATTTGGCAGCCCGCGTACATGCACCTACCAGGACCATCTCTGATTCCGTCCATTAGTTACTCGGGAGCTATTTGAATAAGTCGTTTGTTTAAGATTTAAAAATTAAAGATTTTATGTTATTTTTATGTACGTTTCTTTGCAAAGCTATATTTAATTATAATCTTCTTTAAATGTATATTAATATAATTGAAGAATATTTTGTATCAGGTACCAGGATGTACAGGATGTACTGTACAGTACCTGTACATCCACCACACATTTTATTTCACCAAGTAAGTTTTTATTATTTTATTTATAATTTTAATTAATTATATTTATAATTTTATTAATTATTTATTTATAATAGCAATATATCGTGGCTAGCGATTCAGAATGTAATTGTGATATTAAAAATACATTTAGAGAAGTCTACGGTTTTTACTGGCTTATCAAACGAATACGAATGGACCCTACATTATCACTGACGCACAATTAACTGATTGCCCCTGGAAGTCGGCTTCTTACAGAAACACAGCTTCCCTATCATCAAATGTCACGGCACGCCACTGCTAGGTACTGACGTAATTTGTAGTATTGTTATCAAAATAGATGTATGCAAGATAATTAATGTAAAATCTTTAGATAACAGGAAGTTAAATATAAAAATTTTTTTAAAAATTTTTTTAGATAATATGAAGTCGAATATGTAAAGGAGTTTTCAAGGTTCAAACCTTACAAACATTTGTAATTTAATGGATAACAAGTTAAATATGCAAAGGAATTTTATGGTTTTAACTTTCAGTAATCTGTAATCTAAAAGGTATGTTTTGAAAAACATGGCCGTTATATGTTTGTTTATAAAACTGTTGTAACTTGTGAACTTTTATTTTAGTTGGCTGAAGAGGGGCAAGGAATGCCCGAAACGTGTACAAATAAGATAAATACGTATCAACTAAATAAAATTTAATGATGAGATTTGCCAACTGTCTGAATAAATACAATAAATGATTTATGTTCTAATTATTAAAAATTACTGGCACTGTTTCAAAAATATCAGAATAACAATCAACCTGAAAATCAGCTAGTGACATCATCGAGGTAGAAGTCAATACTTGGGGTTCCAGTCAGTTTCCAGTACTTTTACCAAACTAACACACCTGCAGGTGAGTAATGTCATTTCTAAAACTATATTTTACTTCTATAGCGGTAAATTTTATATTTTAAAATGTCTATTGATATTTTTTGCATAACGCTAATAACACCGGATTTAAAATTAGGTTGCGCGTATGATGGTGATGTTCAGTTTTTTAAGCAATGACCTATCTTATTGTTTGCATTATACCTAGATGGATTTTAATATTTACTTAATCCCGTCTACATAAGTGTTATAATTAAATAACTTCTCTTGAATTTAATTAACTGAATAAACTTTTATTTGACTTACTTAAAATATTTTACCTCACCTTTATTGATGAGGAAGAAATATACATTTTTAGGCCATTGTCTCGAATTTTAATATAAAGAAGAGAAATTTCACAAGTAAAATGATCTAATTTGCTATTATAATCGCAACAGGAAGAAATAAATGGACGTAATGGACGAATAATAAGTTACGTATTACTTTTATATCCTATTGTGAGACTACGGTGGGGTATGAGATTAGACTCGAAAACCCTTTAATCGTCAGAACCGTTAGTTCTGCTCACTGGGTCACTGGATGGCGTTTAGGAGGGCAATTATTCGAGTGGGGAGAGTCGCGAGTAAGTTCCGATCGTAGGCGTTCGGATATTCGTATTTAATCAAGTGAACAGGCAGGTTAACAAATAACTAACTTAATGAATAAAATAAAGAGATACATAAAAGAACAATCTATCGTTATGTCGCTGCCTAACTACGTACTGTACACCTCTAAACACGGAGAGAGAGTTTACATCAATAAAACATACTACCTCATTTAACAATGGTTGCTCTATTCGTCGCACTGTCGCACAATCGGAGCTTGATTAATATACTTTGTATGAGGAGATTGATTGGCGATATTGGTAGATGGAGATGTAGGTGGGTTTGGAGACTGGTGATGAGGAACCGGAACAGGACTATGCTCTTCCTATGGCTTCCACATTTCTATCTGGTAGTTCCTTCGATATGATCGTCTACCTTCTATGACCCTCTCTATGGTAGTCCACTATGATCGTCGACCGCTTGTTTATTTACTATCGGTGACTGCCGACTATTATGGCAGGTCCTAATTATTATGGGTGACTGCCTCGAATCGTGGAAAATCGCCTTTTTTATGCGTAAGTTTCTTCTTCCAATAGAAATTTAGGGTTTGTATCAGCTGACGGGATGTACAGTACTAATGAGTTAGACGTCCAGATGTTCGTCAAAATTAGAGATAAGCTCTTGTGAAAGGAAGTTCGATTTTCCTTTTTGACATAAAAGTGACAAAATGTGTCATTTTTGTCGTTAAAATGTTATTTTAAATTATTATTTAATTGAATATATTTTTAACTGTTTATATAAAATTATTCTATACTCTCGAATTTTCAACATAAATCTAGGGATACTTGTGCTATTTGCTTTTATAGTACAATAATATATAATTAAATAACTTAAATTAAAAAATATATTAATTAAAATATATATATATAGATAAAATGTCCTTGATAATAATAAAGATATCTTTGTACTTTATTATTATTTAGGGACGTCCTCGAAAAATAATGTAACAAAAATGAATGAATTTTAAATATTAGAACAAGTTTCAGAGGTCGCTTTTAATTTCGTTTATATAGCTTAAGAAGTCTGTATTGTACAATGCTTAATAATGTATAACATCTAGAATTCTATCCAGTAAAAATAATCTATATCAATAATAAAATTAAATATCTATAAAAATAAAAAAATACATAAATAAATAATGTATTCTAAATGCTGAACCAAGACAAAATATCGATAAGCTCTTATCTGGGGCCCTTAAAAGGGGAGGATTAAAAAAAATACTCGGATTGTCTGTACGTAGAACCAAAATGGCCCAATTATATAATAAAATTGATATTTTTAAATTAAAAATTTAATTTAATTATATTTTATTTAGTGCTTTCTCTTTCATTAATTTTCTTGCGATGCCGAAAGAATCGTATTAAAAAATTAATAAAGATTTCTAATCTTGTTGTTAAGAAGATTAATTTGATATATTATCCGAGTTATATAAATATACGTTAGTGATAATTGCTCATTTTATATTTACGTATATTCAAGATGGAAGGAGCTAAGAAATTAGTTGATAAAATAATAAACGAACAACGTTCTCGTTTTAATGCATTAAGTCAAGAAATTTGGAAAAATCCAGAAACTAATTATGAAGAAATTCATGCTCATGATGTTCTAGTTTCTACGTTACAAGATTTTGGATTTTCTGTTCAGAAGAATTACATTCTACCAACTGCATTTAGAGCAGAGTTTGGTGAAGGTAATGCATTTCATCTGTATTTAAAATAATTATCATTATATAAAACAATACTTTAAAATCAATATACGGTATTTTTTATTTAATTAATTAAATAAATATCCATATATATACAATGGGGAATTTCGGTAAAGTAAAACTGACGATTGGGCTACCTCACAAGAGCCAATAATTTTATTTGCCATATCGAAACGTTCCTTCTAGGAGCGGACAGCTGGATGGCCGAGGTTATTAAGACATCAGCCTATTGCTCTGGGGATCTGGAAAAATGGAACTTTCTGTAATATCGAAGCTTAACTAATAAAATACAATGAAACAATAGGTTTATTTTTTAAATTTTGTTTCTTTTGCTCTTCTAAGAGAAGCTTTTTCCAGATCCATCACGGATTCAATCACACATACAATGGGGTAGCCGGGAGATAAACGTTAGGCTCAACGTATCCGGTATTATCAATACCATGTAAAAGTTTTTGAAGATTTGCTTCCCTGGATCGCACCAGGGTTCTCCATAGAGGGAATTTGATGTCTTTTGCAGAGCCGGTTAAGACTCTGCAATCAGATTGTCATACGAACATTCGTATAAACCTATTAATTTAATTTAAATTATTTAAATTACAATATTAAAATAAATTTCTTTTTATATGTTGATTACCGATGTAAGTTTACAGAATTTTATCATTCGTATCGAACTGTCATGAAAAGTGAAGGATATCAGTTTGGATGAATGCAGATATCATCATTATATAGAAGTACTTTTTGATCAAATTTAATAATTATATAAACCGGATAATTGGAATTTATGAAGTTTATATAATATGTATAAACTAAAAACCTATAAAGATTTTAAGTTCGACTTTTTATAAATTGTAATTTTTAATATTTAAAATGAAACAATGCGATTTATTGTCAAAAATATAACTTAAAATGGATTTATCATTTACAAAATGTGTTTGAATAAATGTAAGGTAAAGGAAAACAGAGCAATTGCCTGGGGTCTCTACCAACAAGGTGGAGGCCCAAACCATTGTTTTATAAGAAAATATTTCTCAAAAAATTTCCCGATGAAAAATATCAGAAGTCAATACTGTACTGTGCATGGGGTACCCTAATTCAAATTGCTTGGAATCCCATGAAGCTATAATGCGCCACTGCACCTTGATAATGTTAAAATAATATTTCTGTATTATTTTAACTTTTTATATATTATAAATTTTAATGATAATCCGAAAATCAGTTAATCGATAATTACCTTTAAGAATATTTTAAGAATGATTAGGTCAATTTGGAACATTCTTATATTAGTAATCGTGATTTAATCGCTCCCAACGGAACAATTTAAAATACCTTTGTATACAGGGTGTTTATAATTAAACTTCCACTTTGAAATGGTCATAAAATGAAAACTACTGGACAGAATGTTATCAAACTTGGGCCGTGTTCAGTAACACAGAACACCTAAGTTAGAATTCTGAGTGGTTTAGTGGGCGGAGCAAAGAATACATAAAAGAAGCTAGTGGTGGGAGAAGTCAAGCAGTAGTTAGAAACAAGTTCAACATTGCAGCATAACTAGACTTAGCAAAAATTCTGCGTTACTGAACACGGCCCTGGTAATAGTGTACAGGAAGTCATGGGATTTTATTTTCCGCAAAAGAGCTAGTTCAAAAACTCACCACCAACGGGAAATGGCGCTGTCTGCAATATTGTTAAACGAAATAAGACATGAAGACAGCTTTGAAAATGTTTTTAATCGGTTTTAAAACGCGTTACAGAGCTTGTTCAATGTGGTATCCACCATTTTTGATAAGCAAGTTACATTTCATTACTGTGTTCTCAATAGTAGCTCTTAGCATATCAGGATTAACCCACAAACAGTTTCGTTTTAAACCGATTAAAAACATTTTCAACGATGTCTTCGTGTCTTATTTCGTTTAACAATAATGCAAACAGCGCCGTTTCCCGTTGGTGGTGAGTTTTTGAACTATTTTTCGCGGGAAATAAAATCCCATGACGTCCTGTACACTATTACCAAGTTTGATAACATTCTGTCCAGTAGTTTTCATTTTATGACCATTTCAAAGTGGAACTTTAATTATAAACATCCTGTATATTGGTTAATTGCAATCTATAGTCTATATATTTTACCAGAAAATATTTATGTACAAATCACATAATTTCATAGGAAACTATCCGAAAATTGCTGTACTATGTGAGTATGATGCTCTACCAGAAATTGGTCACGCATGTGGACATAACTTGATCGCAGAAGCCGGTGTAGCCGCTGCTGTTGCAATTAAGTATGTTATGGAAAATCATAAAAGTATCCAAGGTAAAGTAAGTATTATTTAAACTTAAAATAACCCTTCCGAAGATATTCGTATCCATAAAAAGAGAAATTAGAGCCGATACGAAATTTTTGCTTGAGTAAATGAATAAGTAGTTTAAGAAATGTATGTGTATGGTAATAGTTTACTCTACCTATTGTGCTGTATTTGTAATAAATTGTTGATGTTGGCGATAAAGTTGCACATAGCAGAGGCAAAGAGGAATCTGGGTTAGAATCTAACTTAATCCCTCATAAGTTTCATATATAGTGTGAGTTAAAATGTAGTTTATCCTGCATCTATGCTTACTGATCTCATTTTAAATTAAGTTCGTTGGTAATACGCAAAATTGAATTTCGTATAAAATGTAACTTCGTAAACTAATTCAATCCTGAAAGTTTAATATAGAAGAAAATAAAGACTGATGTTGGTTGAAAATCTAATGATAATTTTATTTACCTGATTGGTGTCATAAGGTTGAGACCTTTTGCCACACAAACATATTCACACCACAACCAAGTTCACAACACATAATCAATAAAATCAATGCCCGTTTTTTCATGAAGATTCCTGAGGATCTTATCCAAATATGGATATTTCAGAATAGCAACCACATATTTAAATATTCCGGTCATTCGGTCTTATAGCTGAAGATCCAAATAAAATTAAAGTATCTTATTATTACTTGCCGATTTAATGCGTATCGAAATCCGTAGGATGAGGAATAATATAAAATCATGATAAATTTTGGCTTTTAAAACGAAATCAAATTCATTTCCATGTAAATAGACTGACGCTTCACATAAATATTTCAATCACTAATTATTTTTATAATGCACTGACATCAATTTTCCAATTTAAATATATTTTATAATAATTTATTTTTAGATTGTAGTTCTTGGCACTCCTGCCGAAGAAGGTGGAGGGGGAAAGANTGCCCGTTTTTTCATGAAGATTCCTGAGGATCTTATCCAAATATGGATATTTCAGAATAGCAACCACATATTTAAATATTCCGGTCATTCGGTCTTATAGATGAAGATCCAAATAAAATTAAAGTATCTTATTATTACTTGCCGATTTAATGCGTATCGAAATCCGTAGGATGAGGAATAATATAAAATCATGATAAATTTTGGCGTTTAAAACGAAATCAAACTCATTTCCATGTAAATAGACTGACGCTTCACATAAATATTTCAATCACTAATTATTTTTATAATGCACTGACATCAATTTTCCAATTTAAATATATTTTATAATAATTTATTTTTAGATTGTAGTTCTTGGCACTCCTGCCGAAGAAGGTGGAGGGGGAAAGATAAAACTACTTGAAGCAGGAGCCTTTAAAGATATTGATATTGTCTTAATGGTACATCCCAGTCCAACAGATCATCTGTTTCCACCTTTCATATCTTTGATAAAGGTAATGAAGTTAAAATAAAGATATTTGACATTTCTCTTTACGTAAAATTACATTTTTGTTTATTTTGAGCTATTGGCGTTAATTTTGCTTATTTCTCTGAAAATACTGATTAGAATAGCTTGAAACCTAACATATAAACAAAACATTGTATTCTTTATGCATAAAAGTTTAAGCCAAAAATGTTATCTAAATTAGGTCAAACTAAAAACAAGTACTAAGCATTGTCGTAAATCATTGCTATCTCTTACACTCAAACATGCTACAGAGCAATTATTCATGATGGCTATAATGTTATTTATCTGCTCTATCGGGGACAAAGTCCATTCTTAAACAAAAGTACCATGAACCTGCTCAAGTGTTTTTAGTGGATGCTGGTGGGATAAAATTCGTCTCCCTAGAGTATCCCAACGAGTTTTATAGGATTAAGATCTGGAGATATAGCCAACCATTTCAACACATGCAACGAATATCTTCACTGTCATTGGTGAGTGCAACAATGCTGACAATGCGCACGAGCATTGTCGTACGTGAAAATAAAATCTGCACCCATAGCAACTCAGCATGGCTACATAAAGCCTTCTATACTTTTTTGCAGTAATGGCACTCCTTGCAAAAAAGTAGAGCTCAATGCAGCCATTAAACATAATGCCATTTCATACCATACATAACACCACCACCTCCGAATTGATCACTTTTCACTATGTACTGACTGAATGGAGTTTCCCGTTTTCTACTGTCTATCCAATGAGAATCATTCTATAGACTTTACTTGGATACGTCAATGAACAGGATATTGTCCTTTCATTTAATGTCGACGTCCTTGATATAATCTAAAACGGGCTCTTTTGTTTCCAGGTATCAATGAAACATAACGTGCTAGTCCTTTGGCAAAAAGACTATTTATCTGAAGCCTCCTGTACAGTTTTTCGCGAAACTTTAATATCACGGCTGTAGAGAGCTCTGCAGAGAGTCGCTTATCATTGCTTTGTCATGACACGCTGTTAACATAAATAATAGCCTTGTTGACGGGTGGAAACTCTTGGACTCCACTTCCAGGTTCATATTCAGCATCTCCTGTTCTTTGAAATCTGGCCCAAAGCTTAGTCTGATGCTTTGCGGCAGATTCGGAGTGCCGGACACGTATTTGCGAATAGCATAGCCTTCGAATAATTTTTCTTTCATAAAATTGTCTATGCGACATCATTATTGTCATTATCATACAGTAAAACAGTAACAATGTGTCCTCAATGGTTAAACCGCAAAAGAAACAATATCATGTTATTACTGTATTTATAGATCCTGACTAATTTGCATATTTGTGGTCTTTAATGAAACATTCGGTTCATCCTGGGTACATTAATTGTCTGGAAACGTTCACATAAATTTTTTGCTTTTTGTTTTGTTTATTCTTTCTTTTTCTCTACGAACGATTGGACGATTATATTTTAGAAAGACGAGTGTATTTATTTATATCAACTTTTACGAAAGTAATTTGTCTACTATTAAAGAGAATAGTATTTATAAAATACTTTGTAGTATAATTTATGAGTATTTGATTCTATTTCACAAAATGATAATTAATAAGTAGCTTATATAAATTATATCGGCTACTTATTAATACATATACACAGTATATATATTAATTAAAAAGATATTCTTCACATAAATTGTATATAATGTGCAATAACGGAAATATATATCATCAAAATGTAATACATACTTTGTGTATATCATATATTGATGATCTCTGTTGTCCTTGGATAGACGTTTAAGTGGATACCCCTTATCCCCATATATATATAAATGTTAAA